GTGACCAGAGACAGTGACTGGGGAGCTGCAGAGACCAGCTGGGCTCTCAGGTCTCTGGGCCATGGGGAGGTGTGTGCCTGTGACCAGCAGGGGGCGCTGGGGGACTGCCCTGTGGTCCCTACACAGCTGCTCAGGGAGGACCAGTCACTCCAAGGAGCCTGGGCCTCAGGTCTGTGCCCTGTGCTCACTGTTGGGGACTCAGCAGCTGTGTCCTCTCTGGCCTGGCACAGTCCCCTGAGCAGGGCCCTTTGTATGGTCCCAGCAGCTGCTTCCTCCCAGGGCTCCCCCAAGGGGCAAAGCAAAGCTCCCCTCCTCAGTGTGCAGTGAGAGCTGAGCTCCAGCCCAGGGCTCAGGGAGGGGCTGGGCAGTCCCTGGATGGAAACACGTTTGCATGAGCAGCCCCTCCTCTGCAGAGGGTGGGGACAAAAGGAGGCCTGGGCATCCCAGCCCCACTGTGGGGACCAGGGGCTGTGTGCACCATGGCCTGGGCTCCTGTCCTGCTCGTGCTCCTCTCTCACTGCACAGGTAGGGACAGGCCTGGGAGACTCAGGGCAGCCCCAAGTCCACTCTGTCTCTTCTGGCTCAGGACCAGAGATGTTAACCCCGATCTCAGCCCCATCATCCATGTATATCTGTTTGCAGGTTCCCTGTCCCAGCCTGTGGTGACTCAGCCGCCCTCCCTCTCTGCATCTCCTGGGGCATCAGCCAGACTCACCTGCACCTTGAGAAGTGACATCAGTGTTGGTGGTAAAAACATGTACTGGTACCAGCAGAAGCCAGGGAGCCCGCCCCGGTACCTGCTGTACTACTACTCAGACTCGGATAAGCACCAGGGCTCCGGGGTCCCCAGCCGCTTCTCTGGCTCCAAAGACGCCTCGGCCAACGCAGGGATTCTGCACATCTCTGGGTTGCAGCCTGAGGACGAGGCTGACTATTACTGTAATATATGGGATGGCAGCTCTAAGAGTTACACAGTGATCTAGACTCATGGGGAAGTGAGACAAATATCTCCTCCTCTTCTTCTGGCCCTGTGATTTCAGCCTTTGCTTGTGGCTCTGACAAAGTCTACCTTAGGGGGTGACTTCTATTGTCAGATCTTCTAGCAATACCTGATTTTTCTTGGACAAATAAATGTGACAATGTTATATCCTGCTGTTCAACTCAACTTTTGGATTGACCTATTGCTCAAATCTTCTCACCCTGTGCATGTTTTGTCTTGAAAATTCCTTATGTAAGTTTAAAATGTCTCCATGGAGACTTTGGAGGAGACTAAACATATTTCACTCAGGTGATGTCTTGCTCAGAGTAGAAAGTGTGAGAAAAGATGTGAGTGGGATTGCAGTCCTGGCAGACGCTTGCCTGGGTGCACGTGACCTGCTGGCGTGTGGGGAAGGGGGCGTGGGCGGCTGGCTTGCAGTCAGGGGAGGCCGACAAGGTGGGCAGGGAGAGGCCCAGACCAGGACAGGACTCGCTGCTCTGAGGCTGCTGGGCAGAGTGTGGGAGCAGCAGGCCGGGGCTGGGCTCTGCTGGGCTGAGACTGTGCTGTCACCTGCAGTGTGACCCGAGGGGGTGTAGTTTGGACTCTCCCTTCACCCAGTGAAGCAATGCATGACCTGCCAGCTGTTTGAAGACAATCACCCAAAAGGCTCTTTGTAGGAGAGGACCCCCTCCTAGAATCAAGATTTTTGCCTGTATTTTCTAGATTTAGAAATGGAACCTACATCCATAATCTCTGGACAGGCAATACAAGACCTTTCTCTCAAAATACACCCCGTCTGATAGCTGTCATGGCCTGTCCCAGAATTGGAGGGTGTGTCCCTGCCCACATTGGTGCTGCTGGCCTGGTCCTGTGGGGGGAGTAGATTGGGGTGTGACGCATATTGGGGGAATCTTAGACTCAGACCTTTCAGCGTTTTGTAGGAACTGGGAACAGGCATCCCCATCCTCCAACAATTAGCATAGAATGTTCCACGTAACAGGACCCAGGAAATACTAGAAAGGCAAAGAGAATCATGACGATTTGTATGAAGTCCCTCTAACGTTGCTCTGTGAATGGGGCAGGGAAAGAGATTCAAGGCAGCTCTGTCTTCACTTTATGCTCTAAGGTGCAGGGTTATGGGCTGTCCCCATACTGCCCTGGGTCACCTCTTCCTCAATATTCTGTAACATGACCCAGGCCCAGGTGTCTGAGGCCCCTGCAGACATCCTGCCCCAGCTCTGCCCACCCTCAGGGACCCTGCCCTGGGCTCACAGGTCTCTGCACTTCTCCCTGCTGGTGCAGCCTCATGCAGGGACGAGGTCCTTGGGAGAGAAGCTGACACCTCCTGCCCTGGAAGACATAACAGCGCTCGGTAGAATGCTCAGGTTGTGTCACATTACCATCAGGGATATCTCATCAGAACTCTTGACCCTTTGAAACAACCACGTGCTCGAGGAATGTCAGTTCTTCATGTGGGTTCCAGGCCATCCTTCCCGAAGAGCTCTTGCTTTTATTTCAGGGATGACCCCAAGAAAGGGATTCTTACATGACAAACCCCAGTCACTCGTCACCACACAGGTGGCTGTGTCTTCTCAGTGCCAGCAGTGATGTGCCCCATGTGTCCTTCTAGGGTCTTGCATACAGGCTGTGCTCACTCACTGCCCATCCTCTGGGACAAACGTCACCTCCCCCTGCACTGGGGTCAGCAGCGTGGGGTGGACAGTGTGGTCTGGTCCCACCAGCTCCCGAGAGAAACCACAGATACCTGGTGGTTCTCAACCTGCAGGGTCGCATGTTGCATGTCTTGCTTCACGCGTGGCCACGTGGAGTCCTGCAATACTCTGGGCTTCTATCCGAGGATGAAGGTGCTGATGACGGTTCAGCATGTGGAAGGAGCCCCGTGCTAACCCTGGGCACCTGCTCCACAGGAAAATGAGACACACGTCTCCTCTCTGATCCCCCATCCTGACCCATGAACCCACTCTGTCATTTTATGGCCAACACCAGACTCAGGGAACATTCCTACTCTCATTCCTCACTCCAGGACTAAGATTCTGAGAGGAATCCCTGGATCTGGAAACATCTATCCACCCAATGCTAATACTAAGCTATTAAAATAAAAGACCCCAGTCTCCTCATTGTCCCATAGACAGGCAGATCAGATGGGAAATGCCTTTGGCCATGTCAGATGTCTGGGCACGTGTCCTTGCTGTGTGTCTGTGTCCATGACTCAGGACGGGCATGTGGTTAGGAGTGAGAGTGGTCACCATGTGGTCCAGGGAAAAGGTGTTGAGTTTTGTGAAGTCAAAGAGGCAACTGACACATGTCACTGCTCTTGGCTGTACCTAAGGCAGCTCCCTGATGTCTGCAGGTTCCTGTGATCGTCCTCATATTGGGCAGGAACATTCCCTCGAATGGACGACTAGGACCCCACAACATATCAGGCAGGAAGAAGGTGCAGACTTTAGAACAGACTAATCAAAGAAAAGCCACTAGATGATGCCCAAGGAAACTAAAAGACATTTGATTGTAATGCAAGTCCCTATAGGTGTAAAAACAAAGTGGACAATGACGGTTTTAAGTCACCACAAGGTCCTTGTGGAAACAGATGGCGACTTCCAGCCCACATGTGGCAGGGGCAGAAGAGAGGACAGAAACTTCTGGAATCCAGATGGAGGGAATGTCTGCATTTTTGTGGTGTTGAAGGGATGAAAAACCCGCCAGAGGCTGGCTGGAAAGTCCTGCAGGCTCACAGCGCAGGGGAGGGAATGTGTGGAACACACAGTTACAGTGAAGCCAGAATCACCGCCACTGCCAACAACAGCGACAGTTCCCATAGTTTTCATAGTTAATACGTGGGGACCTGTCCAACACCTAGCAATAGTGATTATGACAGAGGCAGGGATTGTGTAAACTTTTTAAATATTCTCCATTGTAGGGAAATTCGATAAAATATTAAATTAGTGGACTCCAAGAAGACAGGGTTGCAATTCACAATATCTAGGGTCACTACTGAAACTGTAGGATGTAAAAGTAAATACCTAGTGAGTGTGAAATTATTCAGTGCAAATGCTTGATTCATGAAAAATAAAAGGCGAGAAAGCAGGAATTAAGCAAGGAAGCCCAGATTAAGAAAGAAAAATTATACACAAACACAAGATCAGTAATTGCACTAAATGTACATTCTTGGGTGGATGGGATGAAAATAGAGTCCCTTACAGCAAAGACACAAACGTGTCCTGCTCCTTCTGCCCCACAGGGCAGTTTAGAGATGAAGAGTTTCTACATATTCCATGATGCTCACAACAAATCATTCAAACATAGTGTATATATATATATACATATATATATATTTTTTTTTTCTTTTTAATTTCTGGTTATGAGGCGCATGGTGTGCTGCGTTGCTGCGTGTGGGGTTGGGAGGAGCGTCTTCCTGTAACGATGACGCTGTTTCTCCTCTGAGCGGGCAGCTCCGCTGAAGCTCTCCCTGGACATTGGCGGTTACTTAGAGCAAAAGAGGGTCGGCAGCCCAGCCTGGCAGAGCCACTCTCTGTGTCACCCCCGCAGCCCTGGTCCCCCACTGCAGCTACTGCACACAGTTTACAGAATGTGCCAGCGGGAAGCCCCTGTCCCTTCACACTCCCAGCCATGGCTCTGAGGTTTCCCAGGGGGCTCACTGCAGGAGGGAGGAGGACCCGCTAGTCACCCACAAAGAAGACGTGGTGACATTTCACCTGTGCAGGCAAGAAAATGTTCTCAGGGCTGGGGTTAGCTTTGGGGAAAATTAGATCATCAGGGCAGGATGTTGAGAACACATGTAGCTCATCCTTCAGCCCTGAAGTTTCCAGAGAAAAATGCAGGATGCAGGTCACTAAGGGTGTGGGGAGCTGGTTTGATGATAGCTGTCACTTAAGATCAAGAGTGCATTTCCCTTCCTGAAGTCATAAGCAGCACTGGGACCCATTTTGGCAGCTTCAAAGAGAAAGATTGTGATACAGGGTGAGAGAGACGTGAGGCTACAGGACCATTTCAGCAGGTGGAAAGCAGACTGCAGGGGACCCATTTCCAGGATGGTTTGACTGATGGCAAAGAAACTAAATGCTTACCAAGGGGAATGTGTCCCACTTCTCCTTAGAATGGCAAAAGGAAAATTAATACAGAAAACCAATCAACCAAAAGCAGGCACTGTTACGGATCTATGGACAACTCCTTTTCATATTATCATAATATAATATCCAAAATGTCTTAGATAAAATTTTTAAAAATCACTTGACATATCAAGAACCAGAAAAATAACAACTTGAATTTTAAAAAGACAATCCACAGACACAGATACTGAGCTGATCTTGGTGATGAAATTATATTGCTCACATCCTTAAGTCAACAACCACACAATTCCTTTGATGAGCTATTTCTGATAATCTTGAAATAAATGAGAACAAATTAAAACTCGGAAAAATTTACAAGTCATAAAACAAAGTAAATATAAATTATAACACTAAAAATTTTTAATGAAATTTAAAAACAAAATCTCTTTGAGGAAGCTCAAGTACAGGTGACAATGAAACTGAAATTCGGTCATTGGACAAGACATTTAACACAACTAGAGAAAGTACAAGCCAGAGTTATCGCTGCCCAGCAGGGGGCGCAGTGGGTCTTCTCAGAGCTGAGCCAGGCCTGAAACAATCTCAAATGGTTCAAATGTCATGGTCCCTGGGCCTGTGTTCACCGGACTGAGTTAGAGGTGACAGCAGGTGTTTCCTCCCAAGGGGCAAACTCAGAGCTGACCCCACGCCAACCATCCTGACAACAGAGCTGTCCCCTGGGCCAACACACAGACTCACAGGGTGCTGGTGGTGTTGGTGACGGGCCCATGTTTGCATGAAGCATGACCCAAACACACGCTTCTCCCAGGGAGCTGAGGAGGAGACACGGGAACCATCCCAGAGACCAGGAACAGCTGTGGGTCCAGAGGGTCTTTGGCAAGGCCACACCATGGGCTGGACTCCTCTCCCTCCTCACTGTCTGCCCAGGTGCAAAGGGACTTCAGAGACCTTTGGAGGGTCCCCTGTCCTCTTCTCAGTCCTAACTCGTGTCTGATTCGGGTTCCAGGTTCTGTCCTCAGTCTGTGGTGACTCAGGGACCTCCCATAGTGTCTCCCGCAGGGACAGTCACTCTTTCCTGTGGCTCCAATGCTGGGGCCATCACCAGTGGTCACTGTTGACATGGGATCCCACTGAAGTCTTGTCATGTCCCAAGGATGTTAATAAACGATATAAGCAACAAACAGTCCTGGACGCCCGCCTGGCTCTCAGTTTCCCTCCTTGGGGGCACAGCTGCCCGGGCTCTCTCGGGGACCCACCCCAACACCGGCACGCATGCTTCAGTATCACCAAGTGTGTAAGGATGGTGACAAAGAAGAAGGAAAGCCACTGGCAAATAGAAGCTAACGAGAACCTGTCACAGAGAGAACTAAAGGGCTTTGATGAAAGAAGGGTCCTGATCCAGGCAGGGAGGTGACCAGAGAGGGCAGCTCAGGAGCCGGGGGAGGCGCCACCTTCTTCAGGAAACAAAACAGAAATGAAAACAACACACCCCAAACCTCCCTCCACCCAACCACCCCGGCTCCTGCCCAGTGTCCCCACTGGCTTCTCCTCCAGTCCCTTCCACAGTGTGGACCGTCCTCACCCTCCCCTTCCCGTCTCTGAGTCACGACCTCCCTTCTCAACCCTCGGGCCTCTCTCCTTCCTTCCACTTCCCTCCTGTCCTATGAGCTCCTCAACTAATTACTAAAACATTTCTTTTATAACAAACGCACAGGACTGTCACAATATCTTTTCTTGGGCATATTCACTCACACCCTCTATTTTTCCTCAGCTTCTCTGACCCTGCTCTTCAGAAGAAGCCCCCAGTGAGCTGATGCCCTTTTCTCATCACTCCAGGACCTCCCCCTTCTCCTCCCTGGTCTGTCCTCATCCCCAGGGAACCCAGAGAGTCACCAACCTGCTCATGTGTCCTCCAGACACTCCCACTCTGTCCCTGTGAGTGACATCCTGAGGAATCCCGGGGGGAGAGACACCTGCTTCAGAAGCAGCCTGGGAAGTGGGTTCAGGGAAAAGTTTGCGTTGGGGACACCCTTCCTCTTTTAAAGTGGAGCAAAATGTGTGTCCTGTTCCCACTGATAAGGCAGAAATAGCTAACCAAGGAATAAGACAAGGTAGCAGCTGACCACAGGAGGGAACTAAATTTGTCCCTGGTCAGGGAGTGGGCAGTGGCGAAGGCCCTGGTGGGGACAGGAGCCTCTGTCAGGTCCCCCTGGCATCTGGGCACAGGACAATGGGCCTCGGCCTGGGCAGCAGGGGGTGCTGTGGGCCTGCCATGGCAGGACTGTGGGGCTCAGCTGGGAAACCAGACACTTGAGCATGGGCTCTGCTCAGGGGTCACTGGGCCCCTGGGGAGCCTTTAGCCAGGGGAAGCCAAAGCCACCCCTATCTGAAATGACACCCAGCCACTGGGGCTGCACACAGGCCCAGGGCGGGATTGGTGGCAGGGGAGGAGCAGCACATTTGCATGCAGGGCCCTGTCCCTCCTCTGGGCTGGAGGGTGGATAAGAGACACCTGCAGCGTGGCAGCCTCGGCAGAGCTCTGGGTGTCTGCACCATGGCCTGCGCCCCACTCCTCCTCCTCACCCTCCTCCTTCACTGCACAGGTCAGGACGGTCCCCAGCACCCTGACCCCCAGCTCACTGACACCCCTCCCAAACCCATGCC